AATGTATATATAGATATATATATATATATAAACATATATATATCTATATATATTTCCTAAAGTTAATTCAAACTTCGAAATCTGCTAATGAACAAACTTTAGTAATTCTGAAGGTGATTTCAAAGGCATTCCAAATCTACAGAGTCCCATATGGGATTCAAAACCTTTGTACCCCCTGAGTACCTGCTTCATGCATTGAATTATCCTAGGCAAATATCTTTGCTTTTAAATTACAAAAGAATTTAGTCCCAGTTGGCTTGAGACAAGATCTTGTCCCAGATACAATCAATATGATTTCACAAAGTAGTGGCATGTAATGGGGAAGTTGGCGTTCATTAACGTCTGATTTTCCTTTATAGCTCTTTGCAGATGTGGCTGTTTCATGTCCGGCCTTATCTTTTCCAGGAAACATGTTTTGATAAAGCAGAGTGCAGAACAGAACTGCCACCGTACAGTTTGTTTAATGTTGTTTGAACACAAAGCAAGGGAAATGATGAAAAGATTTTGGTGCGATTATGAAACACCCCAGGAGGTATGAAGTACATGCCAGGACATGCTGTGAATAAATTTAAAAGACTTTATATATAAACAACTTTGTCATGGGCGTCTGTTCTACCAGCTGGAAAGTTGCAGACTGAAGTATGTTGGTGGAAAAAGGGTTAAACCCCCTCAAAACCAAAAATAGTAAATTACAAAGGGCTCTCATCATAAACAAAAACAAAATCAAAGCTTGAAAAAAAAGGTATAGCAATAGTTGCAATGAATACTAATGTGTATGGTTGGCATGTAACTATTTGCATAAAATAGGCAGCAAAGCAATAATTACAATAAACATTTATAGAATGGAGAATATAAATGTAAAACATTTCAGAATTAAAATTAAGCCAAAAAAATTTTTTCTTGGTTTTGAAAAGAACAGTGAGGCGCTATTGCTATTGAAAGGGTTTTTAATTGTTGTTTATGTCCCCATAGAGGAGTATTTTCTTCCTTTCCTCTCTAACACTGTTCACCTGGACTAGAAGTGAAGGGATATCTCCCTCATGAGCAATACAGACAGGAATAAAATCCTGAAAGTGGTTTTAACCCCCTTTGCTCTACTAGGAAATATGTTTTTATTGATGCCAGGGTCTCTAATGTGGGATGGGGTAATTTCCCTCATTTTCTCTTCTGATACTAATGGAATAGACAGCAAGTGGAAAGATTTCTCCTTACTACCTGTTCTGTAAACCTTTGGTGTCTTCATAAGATATATTAACATACCTCCATACAAAAGAAAGGGTTAATTTACCTTCTC